ATAGATTGCTTTGGGTAGAACTGACATTTTCACAATGTTCAATCTTCCTATCCACGAGCATGGGATGTTCTTCCATTTATGTAGATCTCTTGCAGTTTCTTGAAGTAGTTTTTTATAGTTTTCCTTGTGTTCATCTTTTGTGTCTCTGGTAAGAGTTATTCCTAGATAGTTTATCTTTTTTTGTAGCTATTGGAAGTAGTACTGTTTTCCTTATTTCCTCTCAGAGACCTCTTTGTTTTGTAGAAGAATACAACAGATCTTTGTAGGTTGATCCTGTGTCCTGCCACTTTGGTGAACCTTTCAGTTGAGGGGACGTGTTATTCCAACCTTCTCAGACGGGCTCTTTTTCTGAAACGTTCCTGCTCTGTGGTCGTCGTCCGCTGCTGGGACATCGAGTCCGGCTCTGGGGTTAGTTGTCGACTCCATCTCTGCTGTGAGCTGCCAGCACGTCGGTTCTGGCTCTAATTAGAGGCGTTTACAGAATCTAATCGCATCTTTGGGAGGCCTTGGGTGGTGGAAATATTGACTGTACTCGGCTGCGAACCAAAAAGTTGGAAGCTCAAGTCGAGCCCCAGGCACCTCAGAAGAAAGGCCTGACGGTCGCTTCTGAAAGTTCAGTGCCTGAAAGTTCTCCTCTGACACACGGCGGCTCCACGAGCACCGGCGTCCGCCGGCATCCGACCCCATCAGACCAAGGACCCTGGGGAATGAGAACAGCCGCCACTTACCGAGCACCTTGAGGGAGCCCGCGCTCACCCCCACGTTGGACGCTGTCTTCAACACAGACGGAGACTGAGGCTCCTGGTGAAGTCGCTCGCCGCAGCCTAACCCCTCAGGGTGCTGGGCAGGAGGCAGCAGCCGTCCCTGGCTCTGTCCTTAACTGCCCCACACCACGTGGCGTCGGGATGAGGACTCGGTCACCTTGTCCCTTAGCCTTAAAGACAGCAGGTCAGCACTGCCTGCTGGGTAGCTGAGGTTAGGGAAGCTCCCAGCCCGAAACCGGGGGAGAGGGGATGGCGGCGACGCAGAGACGGCCGTGGAGGTGAGGTTCCTGGCGACGGGCGAGCGGCTCGGGGCGTTTTCTCTTCATCTCATGTGACGCCCAGGAGAGCCGGGGCGTCTCAGCTCCAAGCTGCTGTGACAGACGCCACACGCGGGGGCTCGTCAGTGACCGTCTCGGTCCCCCGGTGCTGCCGCGACGGAGACGCCACCTGTGGGGCTGTAATGAGCAGACATCGCTCTCACCCAGCTCAGGAGCCCGGGAGCCTGGATCCAGGGCCGCTCGCTGTGTCTGCTCCAGGGAAGGTCTTGGTCTCAGCTCCCCGTGCCCGCCTGGAGCTCCCGGTGGTCTCCGTGTGGCGTCTGTCTTTCCCTCTCGTCCTTGTCCTCTGTCCCAATTCTGCTGTCTACTGCTCAAACCTGATTGGCTTAAAACACACCCGGAACTGATGCGGCCCCATTCACAAAACACACAACACTAGTCCCAATGGGATTCCATCCATAGGTATGGGGTGCAGATTTACAATACATATTTGGCGGACACGATTCAGCCCATGGCCCAGGGGCACAGAGAATAGGGGACTTGTCAGCTCCCGGCTGGTGGAGCTGAGATTTGAACCGGGGTCATCTAACTTCATGTACCACTGGCCTGACTACTGGGCTGAGCCTCTGCAAAACTGGACAGCTAGAGGGAGCGCTGGAGGCTGTGAGCAGGGACAGTGCGTCACCTGGCATGCTCTGGGGCCGGTCCATGCAGGGCCAGGTCAGCACTGGGCTGTGTGGGCTACTCCGCCCCCTGTCTTCGTCCAGAGCTCCCTGGTGACTAGGCTGGTCCCCCAGGCTTCGTACCCCACTGCCTGGAGAACCTGCTAGTGGACCAGACCTTCTGGCTACGGGCGCCCGAGGATGAGGAGGAGGGAGCCCTGGAGGTCTGCATGGAGGAGGAAGCCCTGCGGCTGATGCATGAGAGCTTGCTCACGCAGGAAGGTGAGTGGCAGATGGATGGTGGGGCAAGGTTGCGGCGGGGAGCGTGAGGCACTGGACGGCTACTGACTGCCAGCAGGGAAGAGGTGGAGGCATGCGAGCTGAAATGGTGGTGAGAGGGTGTTTCAGGTAGGGGTCAGCCCCCAAAGAAACAGACGCCAGCCTCACAACTGGACTCTGAGGCTGAGCTCAAGGGGCCACACAAAAGACCTGTCCGATGTGTGCCCTGAGAGAGCATGGTCAAACTCCCTGGGCGGTCGAAGAAGGAGGGACCCTTGGGACCCCATGTCTGGCCTTTCACAGCACAAACAGAGAAACTGAGGCTCAGAGAGTGAGCATGAGGTGCTGGGAGCATAGAGTGGGGTGGGCTGCCTCTTGCTGGCCTCCTGTCCCCCTGGGGGCCCGCTGGATTCTACGGATGAAGAGGGTTAGCCTGGAGTGACCACCCTCTGCCTTTGAAGGGCCCTACTTTGTCCTGTGTCCTGACCACCGTGTGAGAGCAGCAACAGGCCCCCAGGGTGCAAGGAGGGGCCCCCAGAGAGAGGCGGCCTCAGAAGTGGACTCTCGGACCCCCAGCCCCAGCGTGTCCTCCGAGGAGGAGGCGGCAGCCCCGGAACCCTTAGCTCCGTTTCATCAGTACGTATCGACCTTTGTTTCCCACCGGCCGCTGTCCTGGGCACCTGGGGGCCTCCCTGCAGCTGTCCCGGGCCAGCCCAGCCCTCAGGCCAGAAAGCTGTGTGTGGCCGTGGCTGGGTGGTCCACCTCCCTGGGCTGGGCTGCCACCATGCGACAGTGCAGTGACCTGCCCGGCAGGCTGTTCTGGGGAGGAATGGCGCAGAAGCGCATGGCACTGAGCCCTCACCTCCTATTCCCGCTCATTCCGGAAAGCTCTTGAGGGAGCAGCCCAACACGGGCACCCATGGTACGGGTGCCCACAGTGTGGGTGCCCACAGTCTGGTGGCGTGTGGAAGTCTGTCCACCAAGTAACCAAAGGGCACACCGGTGCAGGTGAGACAGGGGCTCCTGCCCACTTGCTGAACGTGGTGCATAAACCTGGCTTGGAGTTTCCTGGCAACCAAAGTGGAAGGAGAACGTCCATCTCCTAGGTTAACAATGTCCGTGAGATGGAGCTGTGGCTGGCTTCGTCTCGTGGCTAAGATCACAGGGGATGCTGTCCTGTGGGTCCGCCCCACGAGACCCTGCGAGGTGTGGTCAGCAGCGTCCCCACAGAGGGCACTAAGCCCGCCCGTCGTGCGCAAGCTTTCCTCAGTGCTCTGGACTGAGGAGGACAGTGGCGGGGGCCATCTTGCACTCCAGCGAGAGGAATCGGGGCCTAGAGTGAGGACCCTTGGTTGAGGCCCCACAGCAAGGGGCCAGGGGAACTGGACCTTGAACCTGGGCCTCCAGGCCGTGGTGCTGAGCTGGGGGTGGCCGGAGACCCCAGGGGGGGGCCCTCACCACGATGCTGAGCTGTGCCCACGGGCAGGTGTGGGAGACGGGGGTAGGCGCTGGGCCCCTTGCACATTGGGGTCCTCTCTGGTCTTCGGGGGGCTGCTGACTCCTAGTCTTCACAGACTTTCAATCTGTCTCAAATCTAAAGTGCCAGCAGCCCAGACCCTCCCGTTTCCTCTCCAGGTGGGCTCTGAGGGTCCCCTGGGACCCCGTGGAAGACTCTGGGGACAAGCCTGCAGTGCCCGGCCTCCCAATGACAGGTAAGGACAGGAGGGTGGTCTGCATCGTGCCCGCCTGCGGGGCTTCACCCTCCCCCACAGAAGAGCCAGCTCAAGCCCCCAGGCTGCCCGGAGGCACTGAGGTCCGGGGGGCCCAAACCCCACAGCCCGCCATGACACCGGTCTGCTGAAGCGCCCGACTGTCCCTGCACTAACCGCTTAGCAGCCTCACGGGCACTGCTTCCGTTCCGGCTCTGCGTGGCCCTCCTCGGAGGTGGTGGCTGGCGCCGGGCCTGCGCTCATGGAGGGCCCTGGGTGGGCTCGCCCTGCAGGGTCTGCTAGGCTCCTGCGGTTGGTGCACTGACCCAGCTCCAGCCAGCCCCTGTCCCCGCCTCCATACCTGTTACCTGGACCCGAGGCCCCATGCGGGGAGGGACGGGTCCACAGACCCACCTGTTTGCAGCTGCGCTGGCCTAGGCCAACGTCCCCCCGCCCCGAGCTTCAGTTTCTCGTCCTCGGTGGGAGCACAGAGGCCACCCCCTGGGAACCAGGTGTGTGCCCAGCTCTCCACGCTGCAAACCCCACAGTGGGGCCTGGGCTCCCGCCACACGTCACCACACACTCAAAACCAAAACCCAAACTCACTGCCATCGAGTCGGCCCCGACTCATAGCAACCCCTCCTTGGGTTTCTGAAGCAGGAAATCTTTATGGAAGCAGATTGCCCAGCCTTCCTTCTGAGGAGTGGCTGGTGGGTTTGAACGGGCAGCCTTCTGGTTAGTAGTCAAGTGCCTTAGGCACATACTGGGGGAGTTAAAACAACAGCTATTCCCCCTCCCACTTCTGGGTGGTTGTGGTTGTTCTGTGCCATCGAGTCGGCCCCGACTCGTAGCGACCCCTCCTTGGGTTTCCGAGGCAGTATCACTACAGAAGTAGGATTGCCCAACCTTCCTTCCGAGGAGTGGCTGGTGGGTT